GTATGAAAATTTTTCGCCACAAGAAACTCACCCAAACAGCACAAAAAAGCAACGCTCAGGAAGCTGCAGCTACCAGGAACCACTCAAAATTAATACACACGTCAGAAAACACAAAAATCTGATCGTATAAACTTGAACCAAAAATTTAAATACAAAAGTTTTAAATTAGCAAAACTACCGTCACCACTGCACTTGTATAAAAATCCGCTGCTATCCGCTATCCACAAGAGTCAACCGCTCACCACCGATGCTGCAACGCAATTGTTGTTTGCAAAATCACCCAACTTGATCTTTTTCTGCATGGCATCTCTTTACCTAATCATAAGGATTGGTAACCCTTTTTTTTTAATTCCAACGTTGGCAATGCCACACGCTTTCTTATTTGACAACTTGTCAATGGCCATCACGTTGTGTGAAGTTTTTCGAATTTTTGCGAAATAATTGGGAAAAAATAGTTGAAATTCGATGTAAACGTAGTAAAACGGACACATATCTCTTTAATATTGGATATTTCGTAATTTGCGCCATAAATAGCCTATTTCATCGAGTTCTGTTTATCTGGCTTTGGCTGAGTATTGAAAGCGCAGAGTGGCGCGCCCCAGGAATATCGCAATTTTATTTGGAGCATAAAAACTGGTTTACCGAGCGTTGTCATGGACAAGAATATTACAATGGATAGACGGTTCAGCTTAAATATGACGCATTTGCCTAATCCTATCGCAGAATCGACGTGTTTAAATTTGAATGGCACCACAACGAGCCGTGAGAGAAGCAGGTATGATATGTATTAGAACATTACCAATATGTACAATATTACCAAGATTTTTTTATTCACACAGTGCTGCTAACCAATTTCGCTGGGGAGGTAGTCCGATAAGCACAAAAAATCTAAGCAATTCTAGTATTAACTTAAACGGCACAGGTGCCCCGCCCAAAAGCAAGAGTACTATCACCAGCCCACAACGCGCCAGAATGAACCTTAGTAAAATTGATCCCAGGTATTTATTTTTCTACTATACTTTGATATACGATTTTTAACATAAGTCCAATCGCAATCGTTAAAATCGCACCAATTTGCAATATATTCTTGAATATTTGCAAAGCTGAGATAACTCAGAAATCGAAAACTCAGAATCAAAACATATATATTTTATGGTTGAATTACCATTTACGAACGAAAAAATTGTGTAGAATATCGACCCGTGTAAAGGCAACTTAATGAAAGTTATTAATATTTCAAATAGAAACTACTAAAACATAATTTACATTACTTATTTACATATATGTACA